TCATTCCACTAGGGTCTCTGGGCATACATTTCTGGTAGCTCCACAACACCTCCAACATTCCTGAGCAGGAATGAGCCTCATGCCTGTCCATGGGCTGCAGTCACCCTGCAGGTGAAGGCACCACGGGTGGGGCGCCCTCCCAGGAGGATGGCCAAAGAACACCTGTTCTGAGAAATGGTGCTGATGACTCAGCAAATGGCACTCTTCCTCAGACGCAGCCCTGACTCTGTGCCTGGCCTGCTGGTAGGGGTTTGGAGCAATCTAGGAGGTGGCTCTTGGGTGAGTCAGAAACCAAGAGGCTGACTTTTTATACTCCCAGGGACCCAAGACTTTCTCAGAAAAAAAGCAGGTGGAATGAACTTCTATTCACTCTTTCTCCTTTTGGCCTCTGTTCACCTGTGGTGATCATGGGAAGTGCTTATATGCTTTTTCACTGCTTCTAAAACTGTTGCTGAAAGTTTTTGGGCCTTGTGAAATAAGAAGAGTTAATTAAGAAGGTTCCATAGTATATCAATATGGATGATCAAATTATAACGCTAATGACCTGTATCTATACCATTCTATATGATAACCACTAGCCACGCATGACCATTTCAATAAAATTAATTAAAATTTAAAATTTGGTTCTCCAGCCATATCAGCTACATTTCAAGAGCTAGTAGCTGCCTGCAGCACAGCTATAGAACGTCTCTGTCATCACAGACATTTCCACTGGACAGAGGTGATCTAAGTACATAGTGTTAGAGATTCACTCAACTTCTCATTCATTCATTTACTCAAGTATTTACAGAGGGTCGGCTGTGTTTTAGTGACTGTGGGTGAACAAAGATGGCAAACAGGTGGTCCCTGCACACTCTAAGAGTTTATAACTGGTTGGGAATTCAAATGTGTAACCAAAGATACAGAATCTGTTCATTCTGGGACTGAAAAAAGTGATATACAAATGAACAGAATGCTTCTGAAAAAAGGTCAGCGTTCAAAAAGAAGAGCAGGGAAATGAGTCGGCCTGGTGGACTTAAGCTTATTAATCTTTAATTCAGCATCTGCTTAAGGAATTGTGGGTAGTTAAGTTAGCTTAGATAGCTTAGACCTGAGTGACTGATGTGACAGACACAGGGTAATTAGGCCAAAAGGAGGAAAGTTCAGACCCAAAGCTCTCCTGGGAAATTTCTGACTGTGCGTCCTAAGGAGGGCAATTGCATGAACACCACTGGTAGAGGAGAGGGCCGTTGTCTCAGGCAGTCATATCCCAGGGCTGCGAAGGTTAACATTGCCATTCACCTCCTGGAACTCTGGGACACGGTGCTTTCCACCGGACTTCTGAGAAAGTAGCGAGCAACTGGCTGGCTCTTTCTCCAGTTCAGCTGCTCCTTGTTTGCAAGATTTTCACATAGTGATTTCAAAGGTTTTTATAAGGTGTTCAAATTGGGCAAGCACATTGGATACGCACCAAGTACAAGGTCTCGAAAAGGGATCCCAAAGCCCAAAGAGGGTGAGAACTTCTCACAGAACTTCTCAGCTAGGCCATCTTAGGGCAGAGATGCTCAGGGAAGAAAGATACCAAAATAAAGGGCATGGAGACACCACGTGAAACTGATGGATTGTGTGGGAGAGAAGCAGGTAGAGAAACGCAGACACTTAACTCAAAGCCCCCAGGGAGACCAGGGGGTCATCTTCAACCTGGGAGGAGTTGTAGTGGCTCACAGATGGGTGACCCCTGGCAGCTGCTCGCTAAAGGTGTCCAGGAATTTGTTTGGGGGAAATATTTTTTAACACTTGAGATCACTGGAGATGGTTTGTGAGTCATAAAGCTGGATGCTGGGCTCCCCGGGCAGTTGAGCTACAGAAGAGCTATTCTGAAAAAAAGACTGTGGGAACAAGCAATTTATTTTTTATGTGAGGTTTTGAATAGGATACATAGTTGCATGATTCAAATCTGAGGAAATGTGTATTAAAAGGTTCACAGTGAACAGTGCCTCGCTCCTGCTCCCTATGTGCCTGGTTCTCACACTTCTCCCACCTGCACTTGGGCAACCACTGTTAGGTTCTTTTGCACCCATCCTGAGTTCTTTTTAAAACTTTTATTTATTTATTTATTTATTTGAGACAGGGTCTTGCTCTATCATCCAGGCTGTAGTGCGGTGGCATGATCTCAGTTCACTGCAGCCTCGATCTCCCCGGCTCAAGCAATCCTCCCACCTTGGCCTCCTGAGTACCTGAGACTACAGGTATGTGTGACCATGCCCAGGTGAGATATATTATTCATATATATATACAGGTCACTCAGGTCTACGCTATCTAAGCGGTGGAAGCTGGGAAGTTGAGGGAGGAGGTCAGCGGGAGACCCTCGGTGTGAGGCGGAGCTGATGGCAGCCCGGGTGAGGATGCGGCTGAATGAGGAATCTTCTGCAGGGCAGGCGCTGTGGAGGATGGGTTTGGGGGCTGAGCCTCAATGGGACACGAGGCCTGGGCACATGCATTTTTTTTTTTTTTTTTTTTTTTGGAGAGGCCAAGCACGGTGGCTCACACCTGTAATCCCAGCACTTTGGGAAACCAAAGTCAGTGAATCACTTCAGGTCAGGAGTTCGAGAACAGCCTGGCCAACATGGTGAAACCCTGTCTCTACTAAAAATATAAAAATTAGCCAACCGTTGTGGCGCACGACTTTAATCCCACTACTCAGGAGGCTGAGGCAGGAGAATCACTTGAACCTGGGAAGCAGAGGTTGCAGTGAGCCAAGATCACAGCACTGCACTCCAGCCTGAGTGATAGAGGGAGATTCTGTCTCAAAAAAATATATTTTTGTAGAGACGGTGTCTTGCTCTGTTGCCCAGGCTGGTCTTGAACTCCTGGGCTCAAGCAATCCTTCTAAAGCGCTGGGATTACAGGGGTGAGCAACCACACTCAGACTCTGTGAACTTCTAATCATATCTTTTACTCATTCTATGGGTCTTTGGCTACTTTTAACAATCAGTTTCTTCTTATTTTTTTCTCATCAATGTTTTTATTGATTTCAAGACTAGCCCTTTGTCTGTGAACGGAGGAATACAATACAAACACAGAGCTAATCAATAACAGTCTTACCCAAAGATATTTTGATGATTCTCTGTAAAATTATTTTCAAGGCAAGGATTTCAGCCCTGTCCCCCAGGCTCCCACCACCCCATGTCATACCAGGTTGCTGGCCTTTTTGTTTGTTTGTTTTGTTTTGTTTTGTTTTCGTTTTTGTTTTTCACTTATTTTTCTTCCTTGGGCCTTTGCATTGGCTGTTTCCTCTTCCTGGAATGAGGTTTTCCCTTTGTCCTGGTAAATCCCTGCTCACTTTCTCAAGGCCTATGGCACCTTCTCATTAGAAAGAGCAAGTGAGGACAGAGGTGAGTGACTATTGGAAACCTCAAGTCCTTTCCCCAAATCACAGTGCACGGAGGGGAGACCCAGGCTCGGCAAACAACTTTGAAGCGGTGGAATTTGGGAAGTTGAGGGAGGAGGTCAGCGGGAGACCCTCGGTGGGAGGCGGAGCTGATGACAGTCCCGGTGAGGATGCGGATGAATGAGGACTTTTCTGCAGGGCAGGCGCTGTGAAGGATGGGTTTGGGGGGTGAGCCTCAATGGGACACGAGGCCTGGGCACATGCATTCAGTGAACAGAGCTTCCAGAGAGGACAAGAGGACGGAGAACAGAGCACGGGAAGGACACAAAGTATGAATACAGGGCACTCAAGACCAGACCTACAGAATCTTCCAAGGGGCTACAAGAAGAGGAATTTCAACTGGACACCGAGGGACCTTGACTCCAAAATGCCCTCATCTTCCAAAAACCCACAAAGAAGAGAAAGAGTGAGAGATGTCCCAGCCTTTGACAAGGAAAATAAGGTAAAATATGGCTGGGTGCGGTGGCTCACACCTGTAATCCCAACAGTTTGGAAGGCCAAGGAGGGCGAATCACTTGAGACCAAGAGTTTGGGACTGGCTTGGACAACATAGTGAGACCCCATCTCTACAAAAATAAAAAATTAGCTGGGCATGGTGGTGTGTGCTTGTGGTCCCAGCTACGTGGGAGTCTGAGGCAAGAGAATTGCCTGAGCCCGGGAGATTGAGGCTGCAGTGAGACATGATCACACCACTGCACTCCAGCCTGGGTGACAGAATGAGACCCTGTCTCAAAATAAACAAACAAAAAGGTAAAATGTGAAGAAAGACATTAAACCTCAAGAATCTGGGCTTAGAGCAACCAGAGATGGCGAGAGAATTTGAAAAGCCTGTGAAGAGACTCATGAAATGAGGCTTTAACCCTAAACCCCAGGGTAGAATTCACACCTGACTATGTGCCCACCACTTGCTCCAAAAAGGTTTGCACTCAGACTCACCACACCATAGGAAAAGAGTTTCATGTCTCATAAGGTAGCCTACTGGATGCGCTACACTTGAGGGCAGGCAAGTTGGGGGATTGGTATTCTGATCTCCTGGGTGGTACCAGTGATTACCTAGAGAAGCCACAACAAGAACCCAGGAAGCTTCTGGCTGGAGGGCCGCCCTGGGAGCTTCCCTCATACACTTCTAGTGTATTCATTCAGTACATGTTTGTTGAGCACTGCTGTGTATCAGGCACTGTGCTAGGGGCTGGGGATGTACTGGTGAGTGAAGCACTGAGCCTGCCCCAGCTGCTGTAGTGCAGTGGGAGAGACGGACATGCACACAAGCCAGTGTTACGTGTGCTCTGGTGAAAGAGCATCGGGGCCTGTGGGGCTGCAGACAGAGGGGCCTGGTTCAGATTTGGGGTGCCATGAAATGCTTCCCAGCAAACATGACTCCTAAATCAACAGGGGTCCTTTGGAGAGTAGCCTACTCGTGAAAGACCCCTGAGAGCATCTGCCCCAGCAGTGGGGAGAGAACTCTCCGGCAACAAGGGTAGAAAGCCAGTGTGAGGTCAGGAGCCTCAAGTTAATATACTGGACTTCCAAATAAAGGAAGAAAGTTTAGAAAACCAAACCAAGAGATAAATGCTTTTCTCCTTCTCATTGTTCTGACCCAGACAGTCAAATTCTTGCACGACTTATACCTTAAAAGCAATGCGTGTGCAAATTCCAAGCCGAAAATAGAAGCCATGCCTGATAGGATCCATTCTCATTCCTTTGTTGCTGACTTTTGTATTAGCTCTTAGCTGAGGGTCAGCATTTTCTGATACCATCTTCTGCACTGGACTCCTCCTCCTCTCCAAACTCTTTTAAGGATTCCAAGCAGCCTTATTCAATATTTATGTGATCTGGACACAGCAAGACTTCTTTGATCTGCAGTGAGCAAGAACTGAAGATCACTGGAGCTTGGCCTTCAGCAGCTGCTGTTCCCCAAATTTGTCCCTCCCCCAGGGGGTCCCCAGGAGCCCTGCGGGGTGAAGGCATCACCTCTTTGTGCAGAGACTTTGCTTCCACTGGGCACTGGACTTGCCAGTCCCCCATGGGGCAGAAGAAAGAGATCTGCTGCATACTTTAGCTAAGTACTTTTTAAAACACAGAGATTCTGCTTTGATTTTTTTCTTGTGAACAGTTAGCAGAAGCAAAAAGTCAACAAACCCCCAATGGACAGACCACCCCAACAGGGCCAGCACATGCAACAGGAAAGTGGATAAGACTTGGGACTGCTCTTTTTTCCATTGCAACTTAGAATTCCCAAGGCTAGGCTGCCTGTTTCCTTTCATCAGAGGAAGTAATGAGATGCAGGACCTGTGTGCTTCATTCTCTCACACAGACGCACACCTCAATCAGGATGCTAAATAATGAAAATACCCTGGGACTTGCTGCCAAGACCTTCAATAAGAAATGAAGCCCAGTTCAGGCATCTGTATTGGTTTGTCTCTGGCACAGAGGGTCTGCAGGAGTGCTAACTCCATTGCTGTTATCTTCTCAGCCTAGCCACAAGAAGAACACCTCCATCATTGCTGCCTCCAGACAGAGTCTGTCTAGGTCAGTTAGCTGTTTGGACACCATAAGGTAACCGGGCAGGCGGGCATGGTGACTCACGCCTATAATCCCAACACTTTGGGAGGACAAGGCAGGATGATCACTTGAGCCCAGGAGTTTGAGACCAGCCTGAGCAACATAGCAAGACCCCCTCTCTACAAAAAAATTTAGAAGTTACTGGCCAGGTGCAGTGGCTCATGCCTGTAATCCCAACACTTTGGGAGGTTGAGGCAGGTGGATCACTTGAGGTCACGAGTTCAAGACCAGCCTGACCAAATGGTGAAATCCCATCTCTACTAAAAATGCAAAAATTAGCTGGATGTGGTGGCTCATGCCTGTAATCCCAGCTACTCAGGAGGCTGAGGCATGAGAATCACTTGAACCCAGGAGGCGGAGATTGCAGTAAGCTGAGATGGTGCTACTGCACTCTAGCCTAGGCAACAGAGCAAGACTCCATCTCAAAAAAAAAAAAAAAAAAAAAAAGTCATGTGCAGTGGTGTGCACCTGTAGTGCTAGCTACTTGGGAGGCTGAGCTGGGAGGATTGCTTGAGCCCAGGAAGTCGAGGCTACAGTGAACTATGTCATACCACTGGTTTCCAGCACAAGTGACAAAGTGGGACCCTGTCTCAAAAAAAAGAAAAAAGAAAAAGAAAAAGAAACTGGGCATCCCAGAAGCGCAAGGAGGCTTTTTGCCATAGAAGGGCTTGTTTTACCAACATCTTGGAGAAGTAATATGGCAGCATCAAAGGCATGAGTCAGGGTTGGTAAATACAGCATAGCTATATTTACTCTCTTGCTCTGTCTGTCTATCTCTTGTGCAGACATAACTAATCAATCATAACCCATTTTTCCTTTGGAATATACGTACCATCCTGGGAGCCATAGTTACTGAAGATCCTTGGGCTGTAAAGAAAGTAGAAAGGAGCACTGATCTCCATTACCAGGGAGGTTAAGCCTTACAGTTAGCAGTTTAAAAGAGTCTTTCCCTAACACTTTTATACTTAACAATCCAAGTGAATTCATTCTTCTCATGGGGAGAAAAAGCGATGAGCTGCTGGTTCACTGGGTGAATGATGGCAAACAAGAGCTCAGATATCCCATAAGGAGACACTCACACAACCCAGAAGAGCCTATGAGGCTGTATTGAGCAATATCCGAGATGGGAATGCAGGACACCTTGCTCCTGGGGCTGAAATCAATCCGCATCTCACCCAACATCGGAGACCAAAGGAACAGGGCTAAAGCCCAACCCTGAAGCCTCCTTGGTAACTCCTGGCACTCAGAAAGGATGGAGAAGAGAACAATCACTTATCTACCTTCCTACGTAAGTTGTTTCATTTATTCGTTTATTTACTCACTAGATGACCAATATTTCTCATGGATCTAGCTTTGGCTAGGCCCTAGGACTTTTACCGGGGGCGGGCAAGGGTGGCTGCATATTAACTGAGATTCCTGCTTGTGAATTTCGTAGCTCTCTGCCACCATCTCCCCCTCAGTTCTCAGGCATTGATTGCTTCAAGCAGGAAGTAACACTGCAGAATGGCAGACAAAGCACTCTTGCGATTCAAGGCTAGGCTTTCCATTGTCTAGAGCCTAGTATATGTATGTCAAATATCAAGATCCTAGTAGCGACTTTTTGGGGTAACAAATCTGTTCTATATCTTACTTGTGGTGGTAATTACATATTTGGACATATGTATCAAAACATATAGAAGTGTATACTACACTAAAAAGAGTAAAATTAGCTATAAGTAAATTATTACCTTAAAATGAGGAAAATAAACATAATGTGGAGTAGGAAAAAAGTGACAAATACATATAATAAGAAAACGTTTTAGATGTATATAATAGAACATATTATTTTTAAATGCATAAACAAATAATAACCGAACAAAAATCTACAAGAGACAAAAGAATGCCAGTTTCAGCATAGTCGATACTTCCAGGAAGCAGAGGAGAGTGGAGGTACTTGGCTCTATCTGCAGTGATTTATTTTATTTTTAAGAAAAGAGTGATCTAAAACAAACATGACAACATTTTAACATCTGTTTACTTTTGGTAGTAGATACAAAAGTGTCATATTATTTGCTGATCTTTCTGTACATTAAAAAAAAATTTTTTTGAGACAGCGTCTGGCTCTGTTACCCAGGCTAGAGTGCAGTGGCATGATCTCGGCTCATTGCAACCTCTGCCTCCCAGGCTCAAGCCATCCTCCCACCTCAGCCTCCTAAGTAGCTGTGACTACAGGCGCCCACCACCATACCCGGCTCATTTTTGTATTTTTAGTGGAGACAGGGTTTCGCCATGTTGGCCAGGCTGGTCTCGAACTCCTGAGCTCAAGTGATCTGCCCACCTTGGCCTTCCAAAGTGCTGGGATTACAGGTGTGAGCCACCATGCCTGGCCTGTATATTAAAATTTTTTTATAATTTGTTAAAAAGTTTAAAAATCATACACACACATACACACACACACACACACACACACACACACACACACACACACACACGGCCCTGAATGTCCCTGGTCCTAAACAATAGATTTGGAAGTCAGAGGCAAGTAACTAAGAGTAAAGGTGAAAGCAAGAGAATTAGCCATTGTGGTGAGTCCTAAGGTTGCAGTGGGGGTGGGATTTTAGCCTCCTGTCCAGAGAAGAGGCCTGGAAGTGGCAGACCTTATAGAGTCCCAGCAGATCTGAGAACCCCTAGCAGAATTTCCCCATCCTGCGGGGTACAGAGGCAGCCAGGTGCTTCCCATGGCTCAAAAGGGTATGGAAGGAATGAGCAAAATCAGATCTGAGAGGTAAAGGGCCCCAGAATTGGCTGTTTCTGCCACTCAGAGCAGATACTCAAAATAGATATTCAAAAGTAATAGAAAAATAAATAATTTTACATTACCTGCACATTTAGGTTTGTTAGAACTTGGCTACATCAAAGATGAGTAAGTCACAATCCCTGCTCTCAGGAGCCCATGGGTTATCTGGGAGACAGAGAAGTAAACAAGCCATTAGGATGTGATGTTCTCATGGGAAAGGGGGGTTAAATCAAATGAAAGCTCCTTGCACAGAGAAGTATTTGGTGAGACTTCTCCCATCCCTCTCTCTAGTCCTACCTTTTGAGCATGTATTAGTATCTATTGCTGTGTAACAACATTACCTCATAATTTGGGAGCTTAAAACAGTTAACATTTATTATCTCACAAAGTTGGGATTTGGGAAGTGGCTTAGCTGGCAGGCTCTGGTGCAGGATCCCTCACTAGGCTGTGCTCAAAATGTTGACTGGGGGCCGGGCACAGTGGCTCATGCCTGTAATCTCAGCACTTTGGGAGGCCAAGGAGAGTGGATCACTTGAGGTCAGGAGTTTGACCTGGCCAACGTGGTGAAACCCCATCTCTACTAAAAATGCAAAAATTAGCCAGGCATGGTGATATGTGTCTGTAACCCCAGCTACTCGGGAGGCTGAAACAGGAGAATTGCTTGAACCTGGGAGGCAGGGGTTGCAGTGAGACAAGATCATGCCACTGCACTACTCCAACCTGGGCAACAGAACAAGGCTCCATCTCAAAAAAAAAAACAAAGTTGACTGAGCTGTAGTCATCTTAAGGCTGGACTGGGACAGGAGTTCCCACTCCCAGGTGACTTTCTCGTATGACTGTCCATTGCTGGTTGCTGGCAGGAGGCCTTAGTTCCTCACCATAAGGACCTCTCCCTAGGGCTATTCGAACGTCCTCAGAGTATGGTAGCTGGCTTCCCCCAGAATGTTTGATCCAAGAGAAAGAGCAAGAAAGAAGCCACATTCTGTTTAAAAGAAGCAACTTCTTAAGTCTAGCCTATACTGTAGAGGAGAATTCAGCTTCATCTCTTGAAGGGAGGAGTATCAAACAATGCATGGACTTATTTTAAAGCTGCCACAGGGCACAAAGGAAGCCAGAGTTCCTAAATTTTCTCCATTGTCCTGACCACCCCAAGTGTGATGGATGACTATGGATCCAGTTATTGGCAAGACTAAAATTAGGATTCAGACATCATCAGGAAAGATTTGGAATCTAAACACAAAAGAGCGCAGGCAAAACTGTGTCACTTCTGGGATGGAGGCCTTGAGTGGGTCCAGACGTTTCTTCCAACCTCAGGGAACCAGCATGAAAGGGAAAGAAGCCAGACATACGCCCTGTTAGCTAGGGTCTGAGGAGTTTCCTTAAGCTGGATGATAGAATCAAGGAGGCATGGGCAGGCCCCAAGAGGTAGGCAGCATCAGGGAGGCCCAGCCACAGGGGATGGCAGGAGCAGGAAAGCAGTCTTGGGGTCTGGGGCCCTTGGGTGTAGAGCTAGATGACTCAATAGGTAGCTGAAATATGGATTTAGAGACCCAGCTCAGCAGGCATCTCCCACAAAACTGAAAAATGTTTGGCTTCAGCGAGAACTGAACTAAAATTTTACAATCTAAATATCTCAAGTGAAATCATTTTAATCTCAGCATCTGTATCAGTTTTGTCTTTTAAGAGTCAGGATCATTTTTATTTTGAATTACATAATGGCAGGGCAGAGGGAGGATGGCAGAAGGGTCTGTAAAGCCAAACTTACCAAATGGTGTGTCCCAGCAACCTGGTAGCCTGTTCACAGGCAGGGCTCTCACCTGCAGCCATGTAGCCAGTGCTCTGCACAAAGCAGCTAGCAGGAGGGGCATGTGGGAGCTGAAAGCAGTCTGTGTCCTGACCACCAAGCCTGGCACCCAGCTTGTAAAAATACAGCACATTTTTATTATTCCTATTTTCTGCTAGCTGCTAGCTCTGCTAATGGGTTATAGATGAGCTGAAATGTGGAGCTCTCTAGCTCTTGGGAGGCCAGGCAGGTGAGAGAAGCTGGAGCACCCAAGCCAGATTCCTCCTGCTGGGAGAAGCTTTGCCCAGAGTCCAATTCAAAGGAAAAAAAAATAGATGGACGCCCGAACCCAGCCATAAGCAGGCAGCTCACCACTCAACAAACATCAATACCCTACCTTGTGCAGGGTTGGGCAGGGCTGTACGTCCCATCAAGGACTCCTTACAGGTCCTCGGCTTATTGACCCCAAGACTGGGTAGGATGGGCTCCCAGGCTAACCAAGGGGGCATAGAAGCAGGGCTAGAGGGGAGCAAGGAGATGGGCAGCCTACACCCAGAGTCTGCCCTCCCAGAGGGGTGTGCTAGGAAAGCTGGCTCAGCCAGTCCCTCCAGAGTTCTAGCAGCTCCACTCTCCCCGACCTGCTGGCCCAGCCCCACAAAGGGGCTATCCCTGGAACCCTACTCTGAAATGCCCCTCCCTTCAAAGAGTTCCATCCGACTGGAGGGACTGTGAGCTGGAGCAGAGCAGCATAAAGATGAAGGATATGAGGCCAGACCCCACCCCCCATAAATACGGCCTGAATCTGATAGTCACAGGTTGTGCTGGACGGCTTTATTTGCCCACAGGATTGGAAGTTAGAGGCCCATGGACTGGATTAGGCTAAAGGAAGTGACATATGCAAATGAGTCACATGCCAGGCTGCTGCGACCAGACTGACAGCTTTATCATGCAGTACCCCGTATCTCTCAGGGCCTGTTTATAGAAAGGTCTGGAGTCTTCTCTTGTCTTTTGGCAACGATCCAGCTTGCTCAGGCATGACTTCGCACGGAAATTGGGTTTGACTTTAAAAATGCTCCTTGTGACGGTAACTCAGCAGCCAAGACCAGCTCTGCGCTGAATTATTGAACGGTGAGGATGTTTGCCTTCCCCCGCCACAGTCCTTCTTCTCTGTAGCTCCTTTTCCTGACAAGTAATTTTAAATATGCAGCAGTGCAAGGCTCTGTGCTCACTTGGCCTAATGCTGAGCCAGATTCCAGTCGTGCTTGAACAACTGCCAAGACACCCAGGGCAGCAGGCCTTGCTCCAGGGGCCTGGGGACTACAGATTTGGGCAAGTGGATATCTTGATGAGCTCCAAGCTATTGTTCTGAAGGAATCACATCTTAAGGTATCTAAAACCAAAATCATTCATTAATACCCAGCCGGCTTCTTCACCTGTTTTCTCTATTTTCACCACTGGTGTCACAATCTATTCAGCTGCCCAAGCCCCTGCCTTGGCCTCACCTTTAACCCTGCAGTATGTGCACAGTCTCCAAGTCCTCCCTATCCTCACTATCCCTGACTTGTTGAAGCTGATATCATCTCCTCTAGACTCCTAACAAGCTCTTCCAATCAAGCTCCCCTTTTCCAATCCTTTGGTCACAATGATCTAATCATATTCATATTATTGTCCAGTTTTCACTGGTTTTATTAACTTGAGGATCAAGTCTAAACTCTTCAGCATGTTAGTCACAGACAGGTATCAAATGAGCAAAACTACAATATCCTTGCTCTTAAAGCAAGGATGAGGGAGAGAATCAGGCAAGCAAACAATCATTGCCCCATATTTTGAATATAAGTTTTATCACTTGCAATTCCATGACCTTGGCCAAGTCACTTAACCTATAAACTGAGCTTATTAACAGGAATAAGGATTAATATTAGACACAATATAATTTATTCTATATATTCTAAGTAATCTAATTTCTTATAAAATACTTCTATTTCATACCGTATTTTAAAACTGGAAAAATTATTTCACTTTCAAAATATTCAACCATGGAAACTGCAAAGCAATTATATGAGTTCATTAGTGTCTAATATCTTTATTCTTAAAAAAGAAAACTGTCATTTTTAATTAGAACAAAAATTAAAGTTTAATTCCCATTTTTAGAAGAGCAAAATATTTTTAATTGCAACTAATTTCAAGGATCTTTATGTGTTGTACAATCAAAGTTACTTACTCTTACAGATTTTCACATTTGACATGCAAAATGAAAAACGTAAATTACATTATTTACCTATAAAATAACAATAATGGGATTAAATGAGATAACATATATAAGTAACATAGTTTCAGTATCAGGTGTCCAGAAAGTACCAGAAATGCTCACCTCTGTAACTGTTGCTGCTTTTCGAACCCTGGCTTCCCTCCCTTCCATTGTCATCTCTTGACTATCTGGAATATCCTAGGCAACCACACTCATTCCCAAATCACGTCCTACCACCACATATGTTTGTGTCTTTGCATAGCTATTCCCCTACCTGAAATTGCCTTTATCTCCTTGTCTAGCTAGTAAATTGCTACTCATTCCTAAAGGGCCATCTCAAATGTTGCCTTCCCTAGAATGTCTCTAGTGCTCCCATCTTCCCATTTTCATAGCTTTTGCACGTAACTCTATTGTAACTTTTGCCTTGAAATATTTATTCTCGGGGCCGGGCGCGGTGGCTCACGCCTGTAATCCCAGCACCTTGGGAGGCTGAGGCAGGCAGATCACGAGGTCAGGAGATTGAGACCATCCTGGCTAACACGGTGAAACCCCGTCTCTACTAAAAAATACAAAAAAATTAGCTGGGCGTGGTGGTGGGCACCTGTAGTCCCAGTTGCTTGGGAGACTGAGGCAGGAGACTGGCGTGCACCTGGGAGGCAGAGCTTGCAGTGAGCCGAGATTGCGCCACTGCATTCCAGCCTGGGTGACACAGCGAGACTCCATCTCAAAAAAAAAAAAAAGAAAAGAAAAGAAATATTTATTATTTATTCTCATATGGGCTTCCCTTATCATACAGTGAGAAGCCCAAGAACAGAAAAATGTATCCATTCAAGCATTCATTCAACAAACAGGCATGTGGCATGTATTATGGATCAGGTATTGTGCTGGGAGTTGCAAATGCAAAGATCCATTAGACATCATCTATGGGTGCTTAGTTGCAGACAATGGCATTCATTCTAACTAGTTTAGGCAGAAAGAATGTCAATATTTTAAAAAATTGGGTAGCTGACAGAATCTTAAGAAAGACCAGGGCCAGGCATGGTGTCTATGCAGGCAGAAGCAATGCAAGCTGGGACTAAGGAAGATGACCAAATACACCAAGGAGATGTTCCAGTGGAAGCATCGTCACCATAGCCACCCATGCTAGGGGCTGGACCCTAGAAACCCAACTGTACCTGGTCCAGAAGAACCAGATATCCTGGCACCAAGCTTACCAGAAGATTCCATATTCATTGCTCGCTTCTAATTGAAGT